TTCCTCCGGACACCGCCGCAAGGCGGTGGAGAGCTTCCCACTCTGATCCGAGTGAGATGGAGAAAGGCAGCGTGGTCGAGGTCTTGGCTTCAGAGTCCAGAGTGCTAACCATTACAGCACTAACTCACCAATCCGCAAACAAAATTTCAAACGCTTTCCTAAAGCCCCACACGACAGCTGGCGCCATCGCTACATTCTATGTCTGCAACGCCGCACAAAACCAAGCTCCTACCGGGATTTGAACCCGGATCGCTGGATTCAAAGTCCAGAGTGCTAACCATTACACCATAAGAGCACCTAGCCCAGACACAACACGCCCAATCCGTAACCCGCTCGAACCGCACGCAGTTCACGTATTCACGGACATGCCACATGTGCTGCACATACCCCTTTCACATATCATCGTGCTCCTACACTTACGGCTATGCACGCATGCTTCTTTCGCCACCCGGCTTGCTTCAATCCCCGCCTCGAACCATCCGGTTGCTACTCGCTTTGACGTCGCATTTCTTCGTGTTTTGGATACCCATGGGATCCATTGTTCTCGCGGAAGGCTGCGATGAGCCCTCTGGCTGTCTTGGATAATTGGTAGTGCAGTCAGCGAAGTCGGCAGTTAGGCTTGGTGAGCTCTGCCAGAGCAGCAGCTACCACTTAAATCGGCAGCGGATCGCCGGGACACGATATAACACACCACGGCAACACAACGTGACGCGGCTGTAGCGTGTGGCAGGTGCGCAACGCAGCAACAACTGGGGCGTTGTAGGGCCGGTAGAAGCGGTGCAAAACGAGATCCTACCGGGATTTGAACCCGGATCGCTGGATTCAGAGTCCAGAGTGCTAACCATTACACCATAAGACCAGCACTAACTCACCAATCCGCAAACAAAAATTTCACACGCTTTCCTAAAGCCCCACACGACAGCTGGCGCCATCGCTACATACTATGCTTGCAACGCCGCACAAAATCAAGCTCCTACCGGGGTTTGAACCCGGATCGCTGGATTCAAAGTCCAGGGTGCTAACCATTACACCATAAGAGCACCTAGCTCAGACACAACACGCCCAATCCGCAACCCGCTCGAATCGCACGCAATTCACGTATTTACGGACATGCCACATGTGCTGCACATACCCCTTTCACATATCGTCGTGCTCCTACACTTACGGCTATGCTCGCATGCTTCTTTCGCCACCAGGCTTGCTTCAATCCCCGCCTCGAGCCATCCGGTTGCTACTCGCTTTGACGTCGCATTTCTTCGTGTTATGGACACCCACGGGATCAATTGTTCTCGCGGAAGGCTGCGATGAACCCTCTGGCTGTCTTGGAGAATTGGTAGTGCAGTCAGCGAAGTCGGCAGTTAAGCATGGTGAGCTCTGCCAGAGCAGCAGCTACCACTTAAATCGGCAGCGGATCGCCGGGACACGATATAACACACCACGGCAACACAACGTGACGCGGCTGTAGCGTGTGGCAGGTGCGCAACGCAGCAACAGCTGGGGCGTTGTAGGGCCGGTAGAAGCGGTGCAAAACGAGGTCCTACCGGGATTTGAACCCGGATCGCTGGATTCAGAGTCCAGAGTGCTAACCATTACACCATAAGACCAGCACTAACTCACCAATCCGCAAACAAAATTTCAAACGCTTTTCTAAAGCCCCACACGACAGCTGGCGCCATCGCTACATACTATGCTTGCAACGCCGCACAAAATCAAGCTCCTACCGGGATTTGAGCCCGGATCGCTGGATTCAAAGTCCAGAGTGCTAACCATTACACCATAAGAGCACCTAGCCCAGACACACCACGCCCGATCCGGAACCCGCTCGAATCGCACGCAATTCACGTATTCACGGACATGCCCCATGTGCTGCACATACCCCTTTCACATATCATCGTGCTCCTACACTTACGTCCATGCTCGCATGCTTCTTTCGCCACCCGGCGTGCTTCAATCCCCACCTCGAACCATCCGGTTGCTACTCGCTTTGACGTCGCATTTCTTCGTGTTTTGGATATCCACGGGATCTACTGGTCTCGCGGAAAGCAGCGATGAGCCCTCTGGCTATCCTGGAGAATTGGTAGTGCAATCAGCGAAGTCGGCGGTTGTGCTTGGTGAGCTCTGCCAGAGCAGCGGCTACCACTTAAATTGGCAGCGGATCGCCGGGACACGATACAATACACCACGGCAACACAACGTGACACGGCTGTAGCGTGTGGCAGGCGCGCAATGCAGCAACAACTGGGGCGTTGTGGGGCCGGTAGGAGCGGTGCAAAACGAGGTCCTACCGGGATTTGAACCCGGATCGCTGGATTCAGAGTCCAGAGTGTAACCATTACACCATAAGACCAGCACTAGCTCGCCAATCCGCAAACAGAATTTCAAACGAGATTCTCCAGCCCCACACGACAGCTGGCGCCATCGCTACATACTATGCTTGCAACGCCGCACAAAATCAAGCTCCTACCGGGATTTGAACCCGGATCGCTGGATTCAAAGTCCAGAGTGCTAACCATAACACCATAAGAGCACCTAGCCCAGACACACCACGCCCGATCCGGAACCCGCTCGAATCGCACGCAATCCACGTATTCACGGACATGCCCCATGTGCTGCACATACCCCTTTCACATATCATCGTGCTCCTACACTTACGTCCATGCTCGCATGCTTCTTTCGCCACCCTGCGTGCTTTAATCCCCACCTCGAACCATCCGGTTGCTACTCGCTTTGACGTCGCATTTCTTCGTGTTTTGGATATCCACGGGATCTATTGGTCTCGCGGAAGGCAGCGATGAGCCCTCTGGCTGTCTTGGAGAATTATTAGTGGACTGAGCGAAGTCGGTAGTTAGGCTTGGTGGGCTCTGCCAGATCAGCAGCTACCACTTAAATCGGCAGCGGATCGCCGGGACACGATACAACACACCACGGCAACACAGCGTGACGCGGCTATAGCGTGTGGCAGGTGCGCAGCGCAGCAACAACTGGGGCGTTGTGGGGCCGGTAGGAGCGGTGCAAAACGAGGTCCTACCGGGATTTGAACCCGGATCGCTGGATTCAGAGTCCAGAGTGCTAACCATTACACCATAAGACCAGCACTAACTCGCCAATCCGCAAACAGAATTTCAAACGAGATTCTCCAGCCCCACACGACAGCTGGCGCCATCGCTACATACTATGCTTGCAACGCCGCACAAAATCAAGCTCCTACCGGGATTTGAACCCGGATCGCTGGATTCAAAGTCCAGAGTGCTAACCATTACACCATAAGAGCACCCAGTCCAGACACACCACGCCCGATCCGGAACCCGCTCAAATCGCACGCAATTCACGTATTTACGGACATGCCCCATGTGCTGCACATACCCCTTTCACATATCATCGTGCTCCTACACTTACGTCCATGCTCGCATGCTTCTTTCGCCACCCGGCTTGCTCCAATCCCCGCCTCGAACCATCCGGTTGCTACTCGCTTTGACGTCGCATTTCTTCGTGGTTTTGGATATCCACTGGAATCTATTGGTCTCGCGGAAGGCAGCGATGAGCCCTCTGGCTTGTCTTGGAGAATTTGGTAGTGAGCGAAGTTCGCAGTTAGGCCTGGTGGATCTCTGCCCGGAGCAGCAGCTACCATCTTAATGCGGCAGCGATTTGGGCGGGGAACACGATACAAACACACCCACGGCAAACACAGGGTGAACGCGCTATTAGCGTGTGGCCAGGTGCGCAGGGCAGCAAACAATGGGGGCTTTTTGGGGCCCTTAGAGAAGCGGTACAAAAAGGGAGTCTCTCCCGGGGTTTTTAAACCGCGGGATCGCTGTATTCAGAGTCCAGAGTGCTAACCATTACACCATAAGACCAGCACTAATTCGCCAATCCGCAAACAGAATTTCAAACGCGATTCTCCAGCCCCACACGACAGCTGGCGCCATCGCTACATACTATGCTTGCAACGCCGCACAAAATCAAGCTCCTACCGGGATTTGAACCCGGATCGCTGGATTCAAAGTCCAGAGTGCTAACCATTACACCATAAGAGCACCAAGCCCAGACACACCACGCCCGATCCGGAACCCGCTCGAATCGCACGCAATCCACGTATTTACGGACATGCCCCATGTGCTGCACATACCCCTTTCACATATCATCTTGCTCCTACTCTTACGTCCATGCTCGCATGCTTCTTTCGCCACCCGGCTTGCTCCAATCCCCGCCATTCGGTTGCTACTCGCTTTGACGTCGCATTTCTTCGTGTTTTGGATATCCACGGGATCTATTGCTCTCGCGGAAGGCAGCGATGAGCCCTCTGGCTGTCTTGGAGAATTGGTAGTGCGGTCAGCGAAGTCGGCAGTTAGGCTTG